TGGATAATACCAATAATTTAAGTGCCCACAAGTTCTAATTATGCCAATGAAAAGTCAGAAATCGTCAGAGTGGATAAGAAAAGCAAATCCATAGTTGAGTATAGGAAACCCACATTGACAATAAAGACATGTATAGATTAAATAAATAAATAAATAAATAAATAAATAAAGGCATGGAGAAAGATAGACCATGCTAATATCAACCAAAATAAAGGAATAGCTAGATTAATTTCAAAGTAGACCTCACAACAAGAAAAGTTATCAAGCAGTAAGATGTGAATTATAGAATACTTCATAAAGCATAGCTCTTCTTTACATAGCTGAGCTCAACGGCACCATTAATCAAGAGGGAACAATTGATGTTTATAGCCTACTTCATCCAGCATCAGCAAAACACAAATTCTTCTCAAATACACATGGAATATTGACCAAGATAGACCAAATCCTGGCCCATAAAATCACAACTCAACAAATTAAAAAAAAAATACAATGTTTGCTTTGGGGACCCAGTGGAATGAAACTAGAAATCAATAACAGACAAATAGCTGGGAAATCCCCCAAACACTTAGATGCTAAACAACACGATGTAAATAACACGTGGGTCAAGTAAGAAATCTCAAGAGGAATTTTTAAATTTTTGAATTAAGCGAAAATGAAAGTTCAAAATAAATCAGCTTGTGGGTTATAGTAACACAGGTGCTTACAGGGAAATTTATAGTGTTGAATGCATAGATAAGAAAGAAGACACATGTAAAATCAATCACCTAGATTTTACGTTAGGTAAAAGAAGAACAAGTTAACATAGGTTAAAATCGAACTGACCTTGTAGTATCTTTTTAGATCCAACACCAAAGGCACCTTCCCTTTCCCGAAAGAAGTAACTGATAAGCTAGAGTTCATTAACATTCTTCATAAAACTGCCCTCGAAAGACAGTGTCAAGAGAAAGAGGAGATAAATCTCTCATATTTGCAAAAGTCACATTTGATAAAGGACTATTATCCAAAACAGACAAAAAAAACCTCCTAAGTTTCAACACAAAGAAAACAACCTGATTTTAAAAATTGGCCAAACACCTTAACAGACCTCATCAGAGAAGATATGCAGAGAGTGAAAATATTTGTAAGACTGTGCTTTGTGTCATATGCCATCATAAAAGTGCAGATTCAAACAAAGAGAGACCACTACATAGTGATAAGAATGATCCGGATACAAGACTTTTGCGTGATCTACAGCTGGAAAGGACTAGAACGTTAGGAAGGGAGAGTAGAAAGCGGTGGTGCTAGTGTGGAGGAGAATGGGTGCAGTTTCTTCCTTATTTCTTTACTTAGCGTGAATTATAAAAATTACTCATGATTGAGTTTCAGCCATACAATGTTCCAAACACTGATCCCTTCTCCAGTGTCCACTTCCTTCCACCAATATCCCCAGTTTCCCGTCCACCCACCAGTCTGCCTCTATGGCAGGCACTGGTTTGTTTTGTTTTGTTTTGGACACAACAGATGATGCTCAGGGCTTACTCCTGGTCCTATTCTCAGGAATCACTCTTGGTGGTGCTCGGGGGACCATGTGAAATGCCAGGGATCCAAACTGGGTCAGCCACATGCAAGGAAAGTAACTTACCCCCTTGTACTATCTCTTCAGTCCCATGACAGTCACTTTGAAAATAATTTGGGGGCACTGTGGTTTTCTCGGTAGTGTTACAGATACGGTTTCATGCATAACTCTTTACTACCATCAGAATCCCCTCCTCCTCCAGAGTGACCGCTTCTGGCTTTCTTTGTCACAGTGCTCCCATTCCTGTCGGATTCTCCATGCCCACTCCAGTGGCAAGCTTCCTACTAACGACCAGTTCTCATGTTTATTGATTCTGCTGCATTTGGGCATTTATTATTCAATGGGGCAGTTTCTTACCAAACCAAACACACACACACACACACACACACACACACACCCTGACCTATGACACAGCAATTGTATTCCTTGGTATGTACCCAGATGAATCAGAAATGTATGTCCTCACAAATGTTTGCAAGAGCTTCACGCATAATTGTCAATACTTAGAAGCAACCCAGATGTCCTTCAGCAGGTGAGAGGATAAACTCGTCCATCCAGAGAACAGGAAATAAATTTAAGTCATGTAAAGTCACAGAGGAAACTTCAATGCTTAGGACTAAGTGAAAGGAGCAAGTGGAGGCTGGGATGTGCCTCAGTGGCAATCTGCATGCTTTGCATGCAGGAGACCTGGGCTGATTTCCAGTAACACACACACACACACACACACACACACACACACACACACACACACACAGAATCTGGAGAACCGTGTATAACGTATTATTCTATTCTATGAAAAGGTAAAAGTAGAAAGATAATAAAAAGGCTTGTCTTGGGGCTGGAGCAATAGCACAGCGGGTAGGGCATTTGCCTTGCATGCGGCCAACCCAGGTTTGATTCCCAGCATCCCGTATGGTCCCCCGAGGACCACCAGGAGTAATTCCTGAGTGCATGAGCCAAGAGTAACTCCTGTGCATCACCAGGTGTGACCAAAAACAAAAAAAAAAAAAAGAAAAGGCTTGTCTGTGCCTGGGGTTTTGTGAGGGAGAATGGGATAAATTGGCAGAGCAAAGAGTTTTGGGGGGCAGGGACACTAGTTTGAATGATGCTAAGATGAGGGATATGGGCCTTCATAAACTCATTTCAATCCCTTGAAACTCACCACAAGAGATTGCTAATATAAGTCCTTGACCCAGGCTAGAATGATGTGTCTAAGTTAGTTCATTGTTAGTAAAAATGCAGCACTCTGCAGTAGGATGTCAATAGTGGGGGGACGGTGGACAGTGGCAGCAAAGAGAACACGAGAACTCTACTTGCCACTCAGTTTTTCCAAAAGCTGCTCAAAAAATGAAGTTTGGTAATAATAAAGAGAAAAATACAGTCCAGTATTGTTATGGACCTAAATGGATAAATCTGTAACAAAGAACATAGCATGTAAAATTCAGGTGTGTACTGGGGCCAGAGAAATAGTACAGGAGATATGGTACTTGCCTTGGGTGGGGCAGACCCACATTTGACTCCTGGTACCACATAAGGTCCCTTGGGTCTCAGCAGGAGTGATCCCTGAATATGTAGCCAGGAACAAGGCCTCTGCACAGCTGTAAGGATATGGTGTCAAACCTAAAACAAAATAAAACAAATGAATTCAGATGTGTATTAATATACATTCAGGAGACTGGATGGTTAATAAAATGAGCTGGGACCTCAAATTTAGTTATACTTTCATTTATGTGTACCTGTTTGGCATAATAACTCACCACGCCCTCCATTTACTGAGAGGTAATAAAGAAATAGTACACATAATTTAGGATTAGTATTGGTATTTGGTAAAAAATAATATGTCTAAAATGGGAGTTATTATTTTGCCATATTTGCTTCAGTTTTTTTCTTCCTTAGAGTGAAATAAAATGTTACAGATGTGGATAAACATCTAGCCCCAAATCCCACCCTCTCTCACGACGAACGACGACCTGTTATTCGTCGATTGCCTCGAGCAGGCCCCAGTAACATCTCCTTCATCCTAGCCCTGAGATTATATTCAAGGCTCTTTAGAAGAATGAGACCCATCATTGTTACTGGTATTTGGCATATTGAGTATGCCACGGGGAGTTTGCCAGACTCTCTCTCACAGAACCATTATTGTGAACTTGTTAATGTATGTGTTTCTGACAAATATTTTAATAGTATGACTCTTCAGATATATGTTTAATACTTACAGAGCATAATTCATATATTTGGGGGCCTCCAGGAAGTACTCAGGGGACCTGGGGGTCTCTCCCAACCGTTCTCAGCCAACCAGGCTGAGTAGGCCCATGCCAGGGTCAGGCGGCTCCCTGCTTCTCAGACCCAGCTGAGTCAGAGGCCCTCAAGACCACCACTCTGGCAGTGCTTGGGAGTCTCCAGGCAATGTTTGGCGGGGGCAGGAAGTGCTGGAATTCAAACTTCAGTCTTGAGCATGAGCCTCTGGCTGCTGGGCCATCATCTCCCCAACTCTTTGATTTGAACTTGTCAATAAACTTGATGGGTAGGACCTAGCATCTGCACTATCTATCCCTTGATATCTTCCATACTTTAAACAAATGCTTGTCCACACACACACACATACACACACACACACACACACACAAGTCTTTCTCTTAAACCAATAGGAGCTCTTACAATTGCCTTTATTTTTTTTAAACAAAACAAATTATTTAATAGGAATGAAGTTCATATGAATATTGCATAAAGATAAGTTTTTCATCAATAAACCACATTCTTCCCATGCCTAAATAACATAGTGTACTGGAATTAAAAGACATCTACAGAATATCATAGCAACCAGTTAACCCTGGAAAACCAAGCTGAGCAAAATAAATAGCAGCAGTCAACTTATTTGTACCATGTTATATAAAATGCACTGTGATTTTTAATTCCTTTATTGCCACTTTTCTTCTTTAAAAATTTTTATTAGTGAGACACCATGAGGTACAGTTGTAGACTTACAAATTTTTGTGCTTGGGTTTCAATTACAATGATCAAATACCCATCCCTCCACCAGTGCCCATTTCCCACCACCACAGATCCCAGTATCCCTCCCACCCCCCATCCCCCCATCTCACTATTGCCACTTTTCTTTAATGGAGCAAACACTTCAAGAAAATTTGGGTATTATATTGAATCTTTTAGGATACTACTACTATATATATTTTTATTTAAATCAGATTTTTTTTCTCTTTGTATCATGAACACATACAGATACTCAGGATCTCGCATATGTTTATGTTTTTAAGGGACATAGCAAGTACTTGCTAATCATTGATAAAATAAAATAGATAAGGTTGCCCTATGTCTCAGTGATACTTGCCACAACCTCCAATGATATCCACAGTGTATATTGCCTGATCTATGGCCAATAGGAGGGATTTTTATACAAATAAAATTGAAAAAAAAACAACAGAACAGAAAAAACATGGTATGCTTCACGAATTTGCGTATGATCCTTGCATAGGAGTCATGCTAATCTTCTCTGTATCGTTCCAATTTTAGTATATGTGCTGCCGAATTGAGCACTTACAATTGCCTTTAGAGACATGAGCATCTGCTTTTGGAAGTGAGCTACCTTCAGCTAGGTGACTTGACGTTCTTCTAGACATCCTTCTAGAGTATTCTAGAATATTCTTCATGACAGTTTGACCTTGTCCTGTGTATCCACACCACCACCAAGCCCACATAGGCATGAATGGCAGAAACATGAATGCTGAGTCCCTTTCATTCCCTCAGGGGGACCATAAGGTGGGTATGACTTTCCCCTCGGAGCCAAGACTGCAGTGTGAGGGAACTGCCCTCTGATGTCAGTCGGGAAGGAGAGCCCCACTGTCTGCTCCCAAAGCTCACGCCTTCCCACCATTCTGTGCAGGCGTGTGGACTCCAGGAGATGGTTCTCTTCAGCAGGCTGACCAGTGGCAGGCCTCACTGTACCCTGAGCCTTTCCAGAGACTTCTCTGGGGACAGTGTGGGGCTAGAGGGAACAGTGAGGGGTACTGGTAGAAAGCTTGCTCAGGACTCATGTTTGGGATAGGATCGCCTTTTATTTTCTAAGTGAACACCAGAATTAAAGAATGAAGCATTCATTTACTCAGTGAATATTCTCTCGGCATCACATACATGTGTGCAGACACATACACCCAGCAGACATACCCTCACATCCTTACACAAATGCTCACGTCATCCTCAACACATAGAACCTGTTTCTGCAATTTTATTCATCTGCTCACAGACTAAAGAAAAGAATCACTGTGTGGCTGGTGTCTCTGAGAACATTCTCCACACATTTGGGCCCTGTGGCACCACGGTAGCCTTGTCCTGAGAGAAACTTGCTCACAGATGTTTCTAGAATGGCTTCAGTTATGACTTCCTCAAATCCGGAAGCCACCAAGATATCCTTCTAGAAATTGTGAAATATTCTTTTCTTCCTCTTCTCCGGAGCTCCCTCTCTGAAGTAAAAGTCAACGTTATCAACTAAACACTTGAGTCTTGACCTCTGCCCCCTCACCCTCATTCCCACTCAAATATTGAAGTCCTCACCTCCCCCACTCTGGTGGCACTTGGGGGAAAATTACCTCTGAGAGGTAATTAGGATAAAATTAGGTCACAGGGATGAGCTCTCTTGATAGGATTTTTGGTCTCAGAAGAAGACAATATTCTAGAATATTCTAGAGGAGAGGCCTTGTGAGCACATCGGAGAGGAAGTGGCACCTTCGAAAGCCAGGAAGTAGGGGTCTCAGGAGCAATGGAAGCAGCAGCTTTCCTTCTTGGTCTCCCAGCCTCCAGAGGGCGTATGTATGGGCATGAGCACATTTGTGATGCTGAGAGAACAGAAGTGTGCTCCTGGTGTGTGAGTCATTTGGAACTCTCTGATGAAGGCAGCCCAAGCAACTGAGATGGTCAAGGTCCCAGAACCAAGGCCAATGAGGCCCTCTGGACACTCCTCCACTTGCTGTTTCACTCTCTGACTCCTCTTCCATTCATTCTGGCCTCCTTGGTGGTCCCTGAATGCACAGAGCACCTACTTGCCCCAGGGCCTTTGCACTCCCACCCCTTTTACCAGGTAGGCTCTTATTCCACGTCAAGTCCCTGCGTGCGTGTCCTTCAAGTCTTTGTTCAAAAGACATCTTCTTGATGATGCTAGCTCTGGAAATTGGTTCATATGGCAACTCACCCCCTACTCCCCACTTTCAATCCTTCATGCGTGTTCTACTTTACATTTTTTCCAATTACATTTTTTCCAAGCACATTTCACTTTCTAGTATATTCTCATACTCCTTGTGTCTAATGCCTGCCACTCCCTGCAAAACTGCAAACGCCAAAAGAATAAAGAATAGAGCTATTTGCTTGGGGTTTTTTTACCCAATAAATCCCAAGTACCTCCAACAGTGTTTAGCGCATAGTTATTGCTCAGTACATTAAAAAACTTTGACCTACCTCCCCTGCAAGAAAGGTGACCATGTCATACCAGGGTTGCCCAGAAGATGGCAGTCGATGAACGCCAGAGACTCCTGGGAGCCTCCATTGAACTGAGGTTCCTCTCAAATCCAAAAGACAAGATCAAGTTCAACGGAAGTCCTAAGGCCGAGTTGCACCGTGAGAAAGACAGAGTATGTAGGAGGTGAACTGTTGTGCTGATAAGCATTTGTCTAGTGCTGGAGGCTCGACCCACCGTTCAGGGGTAAAATAAATAAATAAATAAATAAATAAAAACAGCTGCTGGGGAAAAGGGAGGCCAAAGTCTTCCCACAGTGGGAGAAAAGACTCAAGAAAGACTCTGGCCCAGGCCTGCGTCATCCCTCACAAAGCACAGAAATGTGGCATCAGGGCCCCACCACAGCCGTGAAGCAGTAACACCAAGAAGTAATGCCTTAGGGTCAGAAAGATAGTACACTGTGTAGGGTGCTTGCTTTGCACACGGCTGACCTGGGTTCAATTCCCAGCACCAAAAAAAAATCCCCCAATCCCCCCTAGCTGTGGTCCCTGAGCACTGCTGGGTAAGACCCAAGAAGCAACCACTAAAGACAAAGAAGTAAGGCCTTGCCTGAGTGGCTGTTTCTGGCCTTCCTCCCAGTAGGCCAGAAGATGTTCTCTTACAAGTACAATACCACCCTCGGGGGCCCTGCCAAGCACCCTCATCCCAGAGGCTTCTGTTACCTGAGCAATCAGGGAATCGAGTTGCAGCGGTAACAAATCCTCCCAAAGCCAAGTGCAAGGTGAACCCGCCTTAGATCAAATTCAGCTTTTGAATGTGTTGGGTCAGGGGAAGACTCCAAGGTAGATAGCGATGCTGAGTCTCCTGACCCAGAACTAGCTCAGCAGGTTGGCCGTCCAGGTCACTGTGAGGGGGCGCCTGGGCTGCCTCTCTTGAGGGTCCCCACTGCATTCATCAGTTGTGTTACCTTATTCATGCCCTTGAACACTCCCGAAAGCTACCCTCTCTGCATCCCTCTCACACGCAACAGGGGAGAGGGGTCATTCAGCCCAGCAGGGTGCTCCCAGCTCCCCCTCAAAACCGGGTCAAGGGACAACTCTGCTGGGATGCACCAGGATCCGGAGGAATCTCATGGAACATTCCTTTCAGCTCCTTGTGTGCTGAGATGGGGAAAGAGAGGCCCAGGGAGGGGCCAGGATCGGGATATGTGCTTGCAGAGAACCTTGCAGTCTGCCAGAGCACTGGGTGCTGAGAATTACCCAGCAGGGAAATGCTTGACTGGTGCCAGGAGGACTTCTCAGCCTGGGGTCTCGGGTTTTTCTTGTTTCATGTTTGTCTTGCTTAGGTTTCAAATATACACTAGTCCTCCCTGGCCCTAAGTAACCAGCATCAGGTCTTATCAATACAACAGTCCGCTGACCCTTGAATTGGGAGTTTCTTTAAAAAGTCCGTATCCTGAGCAATAGTGTAACGGCTGGTGTGCTTGCCTTGCATATGGCAGACCCGGGTTCCATCCCTGGCATGGCATCCCATATGGTCCTCTGAGCACTGCCAGGATGATTCCTGAGTGCTGAGCCAGGAGTAAACCCTGAGCACTATCAGGTGTGACTCCCAAAATATATTAAAAAAAAAAAAGGCCAGTGTCCAGACGGAATTACTGGACTGAAGTCTTGCAGCCTTGCAGCTCATTAGCTGGTGTCTGTCCTCAGTCAAGCATCTCTGAGATGGTCTTTTCATCTGTGAAATGGGGGCTGATGGCATTGGGCGTGTTCAATCCTGGGTCAGCAGGTACAAGGGAAAAAGTAGGAGGCACCAACATGAGCCATAGGTGTCGTTTGAAGTTGTTCAGGAGCCACATTAAAGACAGAGGAAAGGGAACAGGTGTGTCAAAGCACTGCCTGACCCCGTGAGTTTCAGTATTTGTCTCATTTAACCCATTCTGTTCCTACAGGTGACTCTTATCTCCCATGATCTACCCAAAATGCCAACGCGGATGTACAGGCGATGACTTTGTGCCAGATGGTCACAGTAAGCCTTGCAATGAGGCTGGTGTGGCCTTCGTACCACCAGTGTGTCTGAGTGATGGGCCTGGCATGTTTCAGGTGGCCAGAGGCATCCCCTGGTCAGCGCCATGGTGTAGGCGTTGGCGTATTTCCACTATGTGGGGACTGGCGGGGGTCAGGCCATTTTCACCGCAGTGTGAAAAGAATCAGCTGGGATTATTTTTCACTGCTTTGGGGGCGGGTGTCTCTAACTTGGTGGCTGTTTTACTTTCTGACACCCCCAGTCCTGCTGCTGTCAACATTGGACTCTCCTGCTGAACCCCATCCCCAGATCCGTGACCTTCTGCATCACGAGCAGGCCTGTGGCTTTCTTGCTGCGTGCCCGTGTCCACGCTGAGGTGGCAAAGAGGGGCTTGCTGGGAACACGCACACAACACACTGCGTTCTGGTGAGCACAGAGAGGAGGGGAGCTGATGGGAGAGCGGGGGACTGTCCTCCCCACCAGGTGGGGCACAGGACCCTGACCCTCACGGTCCCTGGACAGACACTGAGCTCACATTCCAGAGCCTTCCCTGGTCACATGCTGCATGCGTGTGCGCTTGGCCTGCGCGCGAGTGCGCTGACTACAAGGACGTGCTGGCTGTGTGTGGTACTTGGTGGGGCCCTCCTCTGCCTCAGGGGTGCGGCCAGGCTGTGCTTGGAGACAGGGAAGAGGTGAGCAGGCTTCTCCCTGGAGGGCAGGGAGGAGAGGGGGAAGCCTGGGTGTCCTGGCAGCAGTGTCAGTGGATGCTGGGAGAGGGTCAAGGGCCAGGGGGTTGGGGGGCGGGGAAATGGCAGGGAAGGAGTCAGGGGAACTTTATCATCCTCACTGGCTGGGACGAAATGGGCCACCGAGGCGGGGAGACAGAGACTTGTGCTGGAGAGGACACCAATGTTCTGGGGACTCAATTCTAGGAACTCAATGGGCCAGTGAGTGTGTGGGGAGGGGATGTTTGTTTGGGGACCACACCCAGCGGTACTCAGGGCTTACTTCTAGCTCTGCATTCAGGGATCACTCCTGGCAGTGCTTGGGGGACCCTCTATGATGG